CGGTAAGCAAGTTTCGAGGTTTGTGACCAAAGTTGAATGAAGCTTCTTGTCCGCGGATTCTTTGGGAAGGGTACGAGGATTAGGCTGAAGAGAAAGCTCGGGAAGTTCATCATCCTCCTCATCGTCGTCATCAATACTGAAGACAGCCGCAGTGTTTCGATAGGAGGCTGATTTGGTTGGAGGAGCAGACGCAGTAGTAGCGGTTATATGGGGTGGTCCAAGGACTGTAGCCGGTGATTTTTTGAACATATTAGAGAACCTTGCCAAGACAGCGCCCAGTGACTGAATAGGTGGAGGAGTGGATGCAGCATAAGGAACTTTGGAGAACTTGGAGGTGAAAGAGGCGGCTGATGGAGGCATTTTGTGCGCCATACGAATCGCCTGTTGGCCCCTATTAGCAGCGCAGACAAAACAGAGATCCTCCTCATGCGATGCAAGTAGTCGATTGAATTCCAGAGGTCCAAGGGCCTCGTGGAAGGCCGCGTAACCACCGTCCACCATACTCACGTAGGGTGTGTTCAGACGTAGAAAGTGTGCAACCACCATATTGGTCACGCGATCCTCTGATAACCGACCGCTACCCATAAAAGCAATATGCTCACCCACAACCTTCGACCCCGAAGCAATTCCTCGCTGTTGAGTCTGCAGTAAGGCCTAAAGAGGTAGTCAAGAGGCCGGAATCTATACCCAAGGTAGTGATGCATTCGTGACATTAGTGAACTAAGGATAAGAGAAAAAGCGTCCTAATAAAGTATCGAATTAGGTTTGCCAGTAAAATAATCTTCCGCCAGATGGGAGACCAAGTGGTCACATGAATCTAGTGATCGGAGTTATTTAAAAATTTGATAGGTTCAAGAACAAAGATAAACATCGTAACAGAAATCTTATGATACTGGAGGAAAAATTCCAACCGATTTTGCAATCAGGCATACAAAAGTTTTCTGTGGAACAAATGGTCAGATACTCTGGTCTAAAGCTAACAATACTGGCAACCTTAAATTTGGGTTCCCAATAGCAAGAAACACATACAAATGC